CACTGATTCGCCGCCAACGTGTCTAGTAAAAATGGATGCAGCAGGAGAGCTCGAAGGAGCGGCCCACGAAGTCGGTCTCGTCCCCGAGACAAGCTTACCGAACAGGTGGCCACACAACACCGTTCTGGAGCGCGACATTCGCGAAGAGAAGGAATGCTGCCGCAGCATCCACATGCAATCAGGGTTGCCCTATTCGTTGCATACGTTTAGTTACCCATTTGCATGTCTCTCCATGTCGTTCGACAGGCCTGCACCATTCAGCCCAGGGAAAACCCAATGGGAAGCCCTCACCAAGGAAAAGTTCCAAGGTAAGAGATGCTGTTTCGGGCAATTGGTTTGGTACAGAACCAAGACTCCTGGCAAGCTCACTCTCGATCCGAACATGGCGCCTGCGCTCTTTTTGGGTTGGAGGGTCGATCCGGGGTTGCGGTACCGTAACGTGGTCAAAGTCATGGACTATGAAGCCTTCCGTAAAGATGGTTCCATTTCCGTTCACGATGTTCCTGAACCGGAATTGTTCGTTGAAGACGGACCCCCAAGCTTTCCGATTGCAGCAGCAGCAGATAGAGCATTGCATGGTGGCAAGACAGAAGGGTCTGATCCCCCACCTATGCCCCTGCGAGAGGCGCCCTTTGGTGCCCCACCGACTCCATCCGCTGTCAAGTCAAAATCCGTGTACATAACTGTTGAGAGGATCATCAAGTTCAAGGAAACGCCAGGTTGCCGTGCATGCACCGGTCATTCCAAGATTCACAGTGCCGAATGCAAAAGGAGGTTCTCCGAACTTGTCTCTGCAGATCGAGCTGAAGCAGCTGCAAAAAGCGCTGCCAAAACTGAATCTAAGGAACCCATTCCCATTGTTCATACTGAAGGGGATGAGGAGCTAGCTAGAGCAATCCACGCATCCGAGCATGAGGGAGATCCTAAGACCGCAGTTAGTGCAGAAGATGTTGCGCATGAATTTGATGCAGCCGAAGCTGGGGAGCCCGCTCCCTCAAGACCCGGTGGCTCATTTTTCGATACCGCGCCAGCGACAGCCGCTACATCGCAAGGTGAAGATTTTTGGGTGTTCAAAGAAAATGCCAACTGTTTGGTTCGATACCATATCATGCCAAGGCAAAATCTCTTTACCCCAAAAGAGGTCGAGGATTGCCCCGTTTCCCCAGAAAGATTTACAGCAGCTCGCACCACTCGTGCCGTGTTTCAGGGGGGCAAAGCTGACAACATCCACGATGGTTGGTTTGGTAGCCGACCCAATCGCTCACTTGGAGATGCATGGACCGGGTTCACAGTGTTCAAGTTAAAACCCATTCAGTCCGATTGTGTTATCACCACAGGTGCAGCCGTGATGTTGGACTCCGTACCGCCGACACCTCTCACCGAAGCATCAAAGAACAGTCGTCCGAATACATTGCCAATTTTTGGCATGCCGTGCAGCGCAGAGGTTGAAGCTCCGCAGCGCAAGCAGTTTGAGGTAGGAAATCATCGTGCCCGCAAGAGACAGGCACGCATTGACAAGTTGCCTGTGATGTTCGAATACGCATGTTCACCAGAGTCCAACATGGGTCGCGTGTTTGAAGGTCTTGGCATACCTCATGTTAGGCTGGCTAAAGAGTTTATCGACCTTAGCACAGATGAAGGAGAAATCCAGTTGCAGTCGCAGATTGAAGGTTGTGATAAACCCAATCTCTGGGCGGCAATTCCCTGTACATCAGGTTCAGCATGGCAACGCCTTAATAAGGCCAAATTAGGAAGCCAGTTCAAAAAGAAACTGAAGCAAAAGGTTAGAGAGTCGAGAGAGTTGTTCTCCAGATTCAGACGTCACGCAGAGACTGTCCTCCATCAGGGGGGTAGTGTTTCGTTTGAGTGGCCGAGGGATTGCGACAGCTGGGCTAGGGATGATGTTTCTGCATTCTTTAGAGAATACGCACACGTCTTCACCCCAGCGACCTTCCACGGTTGCGCCCTAGGTCTGAAGGACAGCAATGGCTATCCCATCAAAAAGCCATGGAAAGTCATGACCAGCAATAGCACACTCGCATCCGCACTAGATGCATTCAAGTGTCCGCACGAAAAAGGGTATAAACATTCGCTTGCAGCAGGCAACAAGACCGCAAAGACCGCTTTCTACCCCGAAGGCATGTGTCTCACAGTTGCCCGTGCGCTGTATCCGACAGTTCAACCCGCCGTGCCTGCGATGCCTGTTCAAGTGCCTTTGCCTCTCGATCACCGGGAACGTGAACAGCAGTTGAAGCACATATCCCCTCTCTCTGGTTTGGAAGATATAGGTGTTGCTGTTGAGTCCGATGAAAAGTGTCACGACATCCTTGAACAAGTTCTTGATGTTGAAAATCTCATCGCACATTCCTTAGGACAAGTCAAGGAGAAGAAGGATCCTGAGATCACCGCAATGGTGACCAGACTCTTGTCACGTGCCGAAATGTTGGCTTCCCCGGAAGCCCTTGAAGCCGTTCGACTTGAAGCCACAGGCCTCGAGAAAGCCGGGCTTGGGATCTAAATTCAGTCCGAGAATATGATCAAGTCGCTGCTGAGGCGCGACGATCCAGTATAAAAGTCCATTTCGGGCAGTTGATGTCGCTAGCATCCGTCAAGTTCGCCGAACTCGCGAAACACCTTCAGAAGATGAAAGGTAGGATTGTGTATCGCGGAGACTGTGCGAAAGACGAACATGGCGCAGCAGCTGTCTACCAAGAGTTGGGAGCAAATCCCACGAGCGTACAAGGTCTTAATAACTGTCTCGCTTATGGATCCCTGCCAGGGAATTCCACCACAACAGCGGACGCTATAAAGGCTTATGTGCAAGCACTGCTGAAGTCCAAGTACCAAACTTGGATCACACTCCCGCCTGAGCTCCGGCCAAGGTGGTGGCGCGAGCGTTTCGTGAAACCTGTGGTTTTGCTCGTTAAAGCTCTTTATGGGCATCCTGACGCTGGCGGACTCTGGGAGGCACACCTCAAAGGGTTCATTAGTGAACTTGGAGGGCGTGAGGTCGCAGAGTTTCCTGGAAACTTCTGGTTCAAGGAGTCCGGGTTACTTCTCTCGACATACGTCGACGACTTGACGTTGGCCGGCCCCAGCCACCTTCATAAAGACTTCTGGGAAAAGTTAACAAGACTGGTTGATATAGAACCCCCAGAAGACATATATCGGGTGCTAGGCAGGAATCACCTTTTGATAGATGCTCCAAAGGACCCAACTGAACCCGATCTTAATGCCGCAATGGGCAGATTGAAAGGGGGCATGGCGTTCGACATGCGGGATTATGCCCGTCAAACGGTGGCATTATATCTTGAGGTTGCACAGCTAAAAAGTGAAAAGCTGCGTGATGCCACCACTCCATTCTGTCCCGCTGGATCTCTTGATCCTGCAGATGACGCCTTGGAGGGTGAGCTCGGCTTTGCCGCTTGCCGCGTGTTGATGAAAGCCTTATGGCTCGGCCGTTTGGCACGCCCAGACCTGGTCAAGCCCATTGGCGACCTTGCATCATTTGTTCAAAAATGGTCTAGAAACTGCGATAAGCAGCTACATAGGCTTGTTTGCTACATAAACAGCACGGTCAACAGCACGCTAGTAGGCACAGTTCAAGATTCGACTGAGGATTTGCATCTGTCTCTTTATGTGGACGCCGATTTCGCTGGAGAGCGAGATGCAAAATCCACGTCCGGAGGATTCTTGATTTTGAGTGGTCCGCACACGCATTTTCCGCTTGCGTGGGTGTCCAAAAGGCAGACATCGGTCTCCCGATCAACGACCGAGGCGGAGATTGTATCTCTCGCATACTCCCTTTATCAGGAGGCGCTCCCTGCGCTTAGCTTGTGGGAGCTGATCTTGGACCGACCATTCCATCTCAAGATCCACGAGGACAATCAGGCGACTATCCTCGTAGCAAGGAAAGGTTTCTCATCCAAGCTACGCTGTGTCCAGCGAACGCACAAGGTGAACCTCGCGTGCATCGCAGAGCAGCTTGAAAGCGAACACATCTCGATAGAATACGTCCAAACCGACATGCAGTCAGCGGACATCTTCACGAAAGCACTTCCACCCAACAAGTGGGACCATGCCATCCGGTTGCTCGGCATTCGTGTTGACCTTCCAGAGAAGCTTGAAGACGTTCGTGAAAGTAGAGCCGCTAAAGCAGCTGCCTAGTGCGCTGCAGCATGTCCGCAAAATTTCCAAAAGTGTGCAAAGTGCCTGGGTGATGCTTGAATAACTTGTGTCAGTCGTTGTGATGTAAACTTGACTTCAAGTTGGCGTGGTAATGCGCCCAAGACACTCCCTCAGTGCCGTCAATGAGGGGGGAGTCAATTATCACGATGACATTTATGGCCCAGAGGTACATGAGGTAGGTTCCCATGTAGTCAGTTGCATGTTGTACATTCAAGTCATTGCCAAAGCATGATCCAATCACTGCTTTGGCTCAAGTGCTGAAAACAGCGCGTTGCACCGCGCTAGCCCCAAGGTTAAGGGAGAGGTCGCAGTCACGGAGGGGTTCGTTCCTTTTAAGGTCCCGGGTTCCCCCGTTGTTGACAAAACTGTGTTTCCCTCTCCTTTGAGTAAAATACGACATTTTACTGGCCAAGACAAAAAACGGGGAAAAACAAAACACACAAACGAACAAATCCAGATATCATTCGCGCCTTGTGGGTATTCTTTGAAGGAAACATTTTGGCTTAACGTGGCCTGAGTTGGCCTGACTTGGCCTTAACATGCCCTTCGCTGTTCAGAATGGGGTACAGGGGGCGGGGGGGGGTTAGGAGGCACGGTTCCTGAGTGGTATCAGAATCCTGGAGTGGGGGAAAAATACGCACGCCCGTGTGCCGTCCTTGCGGGGTTGCCTCCCTATCGCTTTCCTTGAAACCAAACATTGATCAAACGAGAGGCCTCCTTTGAAACCCGCAGCCCTTGTTTCGCAGTTGTTCTTGGTCAGCATCAACATTTCACCCGGCGGTCGTCAAACCGAACGATCTGTCGGCTGTCAGGTGCGGGGACCCTTGTGAGGGCACACAGGCGGGGCGGGGAGGCTGGGAGGCTGGGAGGCTGGGGAGACGGGGCATGGTGCACGACCAATGTTCCAACCACAAAAATCAAGGGCCTTACGCATTTTCTCACTTGCTTTAGAGGAAACAACTCATGTTGACAATGGCGCAACGTGCTATTGCCAGGTGGATAGTAATTGGTTTTGAACAGTCCCGTATGAGTTTCTGGTGGTAGTATTCTCGTGTTTTGGTTCTGCGGTTTCATGCTAGAGAAGTCGGTGCTTTGAAGCGCTCTTGAGGAAACGAGGATTTGGGAGGGATGGATCCATTTGTCCCCGACCGTGATGCATTGAAGGAGGGCTTTTTCCCAAAAGGGGGGGCAAGCCCCGGTTTTGGCGTGAAGTGTGGCCGACGACAACATGGACGTATCTCTCATACTGGGGGAGCGTCACTCGCAAGTTGCGCAGCCCTTCCCCATACATCTTCCCCTTGTGGGTACAAGGGAAATGGTGTCATGGGGGGGGTCCCACATGTTTCCCAGTTGGCTTCATGTCCTTTTTTTATGACTTGCCTTTTCTGCTTGATGCTTTTGGGTTAACAAGCAGCAGTAGATGCACTACCTCCAGCAACTATTTTTTCTCATGACGTGGCGGTTCACAGCTATACGCTTAGACTTTCAGACTCAGAGTTTAGAGCCCAAAAGGTTCAACTTGTAGCACGGGGCCAATGAGCTACTACACAACCCTGAAGGCTTGCCGTCAACTGTGTGTGTGTTAGGGTATATTTTTCATGTTGGTTTAAACGGAACCAAACGGAACACCACCCTTTAAAAGGGTTTTTGCTGGACACATATCAAACCACAGGGTCTTTTAGAGTCTCATGTGCTGAACATGTTGTAATTAGCACACACGGGGACTTGGCTCGTGGTTTGTTGACGCCCGACAAGGAACCCAAACGAGGACCCAAGCCGTCCGAGTGAAGCGAAAAAAACGAGGTGGACTCCAAGTCGGGCCCCGAGTGCCTCACCGCCGCCTGCGCTGCGGCGCGGGAGAGCAAGGACTGCGAGCGCCGGGCTGAGCGGGGGGGAAATGGGACGGTCTGTTTTTGTTGGTTTGGTTTGGTTTAGTTTTTGTTGGTTGTTTTTGTTTCTGTTTGTTTGCTTGCTCGCTTGCTCGTTTGTTTGCTTGCTTGCTTGCGCGTTTGTTTGCTTGCTTGCTTGCTTGCTTGCTTGCTTGCTTGCTTGCTTGCTTACTTGCTTGCGCGTTTGTTTGCTTGCTTGCTTGCTTGCTTGCTTGCTTGCTTGCTTGCTCGTTTGTTTGCTTGATTGCATGTTTGTTTGTTGGTTTGTTTGTTTGTTTGTTTGTTTCTACGTTTACCTGTTTGTGGCTCCGTTCACCTATAAGAGCAAGGTTTTTCAGCGCACTTTCAGAAAAGGCACACACAGATCATGTTTATTTTCCTGTCATGCCTGCTTTGATTTTGGCTCTTTGTGGCCAACAAAGCTTGTTATGGACAGGTTGTGAACGTTTTTGCTTGACCACTTCCTAGTGACGACCAATTTGCCCAACGAACGGCGCACCCGCACTAGCACTCTGCCTTGACTGCACACTCCCGGCCAAATTTGAGAGCCGGTTTGCTTTCCTAAGCAGCCAAAGGGGTACCCTATACCCTCAAAAAACAACAACCTCACATGTGGAGTCGACAGGGCCAAGGGCCGGGCCGCACCGCGTGCTTTCGGTCGGCTTGAGGTGGGCGCCCTGGTCCGAGCCTGCGGCTCAGGTGTTTCAGCGCGAAAAAAACGCGGACTTTCGGGCGATGAAATGTAGGGGCCATGGCTTTTTGTGGACACTGGCGCACGTGGTCTGAAACTCAAAAAGGCCACCATTTTGGCCTGGGAACTTGCGCATGTCCGAAACTTGGGGAAGGTTACAGGCGATTCGTTGAAAGGACGCGCCAGCCACGGCCGCCCCCAGGTGGTCCGCCTGCGACACTCTGCTCGCGCAGAGCTTCCGCGAGCGGGAGGTGAACTCCCAGCGCCCCGGGCGAGGTTTCGGCCGAAGAAAGGTCGGCGCCTGTTGCTTGGTGCGTTGGCGGCCTTGCTGAGGGTGTTTTTCCAACGTAGGGGGGGGGCGGTTTTGGTTTTTTTCCACCGCAGGCGAGGGGAAAAGCCGCAGTTGAGGCAAAAACAGGTTCTGCACTTGTTGCCAGGTGTCTTCAATTTGTTCCCGGGCCAAAAAGTAGGAGGGGAAAGCCAGGGAAAGCAGCCATTTGACAGGGGAAGGGGAAGCCGCCATTTGGGCAGAGAGATCATTTCTGTGGATCCATACAATCCTTCAGGTGGGATGGATGAACCCCTATGCCACCTTCCAGCTGGTGCCAGGCCTATTTTGTCAATCCGTAAGAAGTGATCCAAGATTTGACACCCGAGCAAAATCAACCAACGGTTTCTCCATCCTCGAGTGATCTTTGGTCGAAGGGAGAAATATGGGTATGGGTCAAAATTAAAGCACCAGGGGACCGCAGGTTTTAGTCCTTGGTTCCATTTACTAGAGTTCCAAAATGGATACCCATTATTGACCCACAGCCATATCAGGATTCCTGTCTGGCGGCCAATCCACACACGAGCATCTCGATGCGCAATACGCGGGGCAAGGGAAGAGCACCCGAGCACCCGGCCGTCCGAGGAGCGTCTTGGGGGGCGCGTCCTGCACTGGTAGCCGCACGCTCAGCTTGAAACCTGGGCAAGGGTTGTTGTAAGACCGCCACAGTTCACCCCTACAAACAGCCCAAGGAAAAGGGCCACATTGGACCTTATTGGGCCTCCTTTCTTTCTTTTTTCTTGTTCGGGATGCCAGGATGAATGTTTTAGAGGGAATCCGGACTTTTAAGGAACGACCCCTCACAAAACCGCTGTCCAGAAGAGCCAATTAGAAGGCATGTGTTAGGAGCCTTTTCAGGTTGGTATAAGGGGAACCGCAAAAGAAATACCCCCGCTTCGGGTCTTTCTATTTTTCCTCATACCTCCAACTCAAAGGGCAACCAATTCATCCCCCGCCCAATCCTTTGGGAGTTGCCCAAAGGCGACGACATCCCATAGATACCTTTGCGCCCGAGCAAGGGGTATGGGGCACGAATTTGTTTGGCTCAAAAAGGGAACCTAAACGAGGCCGTTCAAAATTCCGCTTGGGCAAAGCACCTCGCATCGGATGCGAGCGGAGCCGGGATTGTGGAGAGCCCCAGCAATGCATGGCAGGAGTTCATGTTGCTGAAAAAGAAGACATTCAGATTCGGTGCCCTCAAAACACGCAGTTGAGCTTGTATTTGCTGTCCTTAGTGATTGCCACGGGTGTCCAACACTCGGATTTAGTCGCCCAACTTGCCTTTTGGCCTCACTTTTAGCCATGGCTGTGGACAACTTGGTTTTAGGATCAACTTGTGTCCCTCTTTGCAGTGATGCGGTCATGGGGATGTCCTACTTTAACCACAGAAAAGGTAGTCATGCCTATAGCAACATTTAAAAGGCAAGGGCCAACGATGTTTTACTCCCCTGAAAAGGCGTTCCCCCAAAATGATTCTCCTCTTGGCGGGGGTTAGGGCAGGGGCTAGCAACATCCCCAGCATCACCAGCATCACTTGGACCTGGGGCAGCCTATTGGTCTGATTTCATGGCAGTTGGGAATTGCTGGGGGCTGGTTTAAGTTAGGCAAATTTTCTCCCTGTCACAGGCTTCAAGGAGACGCACCCCTGCGGGACGTCTGAAGACCAGGCGGGGCGGGTGTCAACCAAAATGGGGGCACCCGCGTTTGGTTTTTATTTAAATGGAAACCCAAGGAAACCAAGCATTTTGGGAAATGGAACCATTCCAGAAGAGCCTGAAAGGCCTACAATGAGTGGTTTCCAAAACAACCCCAAAAGGGGGAACCCTTCAAAAAGCCACGACCTCAAATCAGGGCCCCTCAGAACCATGTGTCAAGGAACAAAATAAGAGACACTTCCAGGCCCCATGATGAAGTTGCCGTGTTAATTGGAGGGGGGGGGTCTTATTTCGGATTTGGAATTATATCATGTCTTGTTGTCCCTTTGCTGGCTGGAAAAAAATGTGGACAGCCATCCCAAAAGAATGGCGAAATGTTTCCTGTGGTCCAACCGTGCCGCATATCCTTTCCCTGTCCCTTTGTGGAACCTCCAAAAGTGGCGATCGTTTTGAGGCAAGCCGCCAGTCAATTGATCAACTTTTGAACCTGGTATGCCTTTTCCACTGTTTGTGGGATAAACAAGCAGCCCTGCTGGTAGTGTAGAAACCCTTTTCAAGGGAGGCGGTTCATTTCAGAGGAGAAGGCAAACCCTGCTATTGAAGGGGACATCCAGCGAGCCCTGTGGTGAGGGGGGTGGGCTGACAGCTCTGTGGAGGTTTTTGGAGAAGGCAAGCGGGGTTGCCCGAGGGTTTTTCGCTGTCAAACAATCAAAACTCGGGTGGATGAAGATTAGTACGGGATACTCCCAACGGTGCCGCCTTCATAATTCTTTACATGGTTCCGTGTAGACCATTTTAATACCGGGTTTTGAGCGATGGTCCATTTGAGCGGCGGAACTCACTTAATTAACCAAACGTTCATATCTTTGATCGTGCCTCACATACCCAGTTGGGTGTGAACTTTACCATGGTGGGGATTCAACTGTTGAGGTGGTCCGACAAAGATTAGCACCCCGTTTGGTTGGTGGCTTTAAAGGGAAGCCACAATTAACACCAACAGAAAAGGTCCCCTACAAAACACCCCCATTTGGGTATGGGTCAAAATTAAACCACCAGGAAACCGCAGGTTTTAGTCTTTGGTTCCATTTACCGATCGGGTTCCCAAACCAGGTACCTATTTTTGACCCACAGCCATTTAGTCACTTGGCAGGAACGGGACTGCGCCGTCTCAGAGTGGGGCGAGTGGACCGCCTGCAGCGTCTCCTGCGGGGGCGGATCGCAGGCGCTGGGTGAGGGCTCCACAGAAAGAAAGACCACGGTTTGGGGGGGGTTGGGGGGTTTGTCATATCCAATTTGGCAGGTTCCAGCCATGTCCTTCATTTTGGAAAATCCCAGTGCCCCACCCCTATCCCCCCCGCTTTCCTCTCAATACGGCCTTAATAATGTCGTCTTCATATTAGTAAACGGGGTCCCCCCCTCATTTTTTTTCCGGGCAAAGTATGGTAATAAAAAACAATTGTGCTTGTAGTATTGCTTCTAGTACTTGTAGTACTTGTAGTAGCTGTAGTACTTGTAGTAGTCCTTTTAGTACTGCTTCTGGTACTGGGAGTACTTGTAGTAGGGGCTGTAGTAGTACTGCTTCTAATACTTGTACTACTTGAAGTAGCGGCTGTAGTACTTGTAGTAGTACTTGTAGTAGTCCCCCCTCTTAACCAATACCTAGTTCTTCCTAGGGGTCGCTTTGGGGAGTTTATTAATGTGAACCCTTTTGCTAATGCGGGTTTGGGGAGCTTGTGTGGGGTACCTCATGTTGGAGTCCAGGGACATCACTTTTGTAAAGAGACTTCATTTAAAAGCCGCACTTTCCGGGCATGTGTGGTTTTTGGAGATCTGAGGTCTGCTGGAGAGCCTTTGAAGGTTCCAGTTATATAATTACCTTGCCTGGTGCGCTGCACACTTGTTGCATGTGTCTCTGTGCCATCAACTTCTGCACGCTACCTGCATACTTTTGAATCATTTTGGACTGGCTTGCTCCCTGATACAAAAAAACTTGTTTGGCTCGCCCCCGCGTTTTGGGGAATTTCATTAATGTGAGTTTTTTTGGGTGGTTTATTAATGTTGTGCTTTGGAGGGTCGACTTGGGGGAGCGGTGTTGTATGTTTTCAATTAATTTGTGAATTAGCCCCTTCTTAATTTAGTATTGGGTGAAAAAGCGGGTCCGGTGGCCGAGAATTTTGTTAATACGCGCCCATTTATTAAACTTAGGTTGACATTAAGGCTGGAAATAGGTAACATGGGGAGGGGCGGTTGGAATCCTACAATGCTCAAGCGCTAAAGTTTATCCTTATCTTACTTGTTTAGTGGGATATTGCCTCTAAACTCTGAAAGTCCACAAGTTCAAGGAATTGCGGGAGGGGGCGCTTGAGATTCTGCGGCGTCCCAGGTTCCGTTTGAAAGACTCGATGAAGGGAATCCTTCGGCGGTGTCGCTGGCGGTGGAACACACCTGGGGACTTCGCGGCACGGACGCGCGTCATTTTTTCAGGAGGGGATCCGGATCAATTTCCAGGAGAAATCAAGCAATGAGCCATGCGGTGGATTCAATGTAGATCGTCACTTTGCCGTCCTTGATATTTAATCTCTGGCATCCTGGCTCAATCGCACCTGTGACTCGTTCCTGGGAAAAACTTGTTTTTGTTGAGCCCCAAACTGTATAAACCAAAAAGTAACCTGCAGGGCAAAAACGAGATTGGGGGTAAACACAGGGTTTGGAACAGCCCGAAAGAAGGCCAGTTGGCCTCTCCTGTTGGCAGTTTGGAGGTGTCTGGTTGTCAAGGGTAAATGTGCCCAACAAGCCACGAAACCTCCATGTGGCAATATCTTGCACCGTTGCCCTTGACTGAGATGATCAGCAAGGCTAAAGAAGAAATCAGGTTTAAGGGTTGAACGTTGACCAAGAGTACCTGCGGAACCAACGAAGGTTCCAATCAGGCGTCCCTGCGGCGATTCTCGCAGCGCGCGGGCGTGCGGGGCAGGCGTGGGGCGGGGAGGTAGGGGTTTAGGTAGCAACTGCCTCGAGTTCGCATGAATGAGTTGACGCGCAGCCCCCCTTACTATTGGAAACGGCTTAAGGAAGGTTCTGGCCAGGTTGGCTTATACCCCGTAGGGGGTTGACACTGGATGATGTCAACCTCCTCACTTTATGTCAGAGCTTTCCCAGGGGTCTATTGCTCAGGGCTTTTTTTGGAGAGCCCGGCGGGGCTACAATGTTGGTATGCTTCAATATGCCACCCCCCCCCGAGCAGTGCCAACAGTCATTTGGAGAGTCTCGGGACGAAGGGGCGGGGGTCTGGGTTGTACTTGGACTTGCCAATGCTCTTAGTATTGCCAAGACCTACTCTCAGATTCCCAGTACTTGAATTGGTTTTTAAATCGCGATTTATATAACATCGATGGTTTGGGGACCACTTCAAAATCGGAAGTCCTGTTTTCCAATTCGGACCTTCTTCGGGCATCTCTTTTGCGGTTTGCTTTTGGGCTTCCCTTTTGGGTTTCTCTTGAGGCTTCCTTCTGGCACGTGGGAATGATACGAGCACTGGGAAGTACACCAGAGAGCTGGAGGGTCCCTCGTGTAAGAATTCACCCACTTTCTGCGTGTGTACTTCAGATTTAAATAAGGACCAAACTCTGATTATTCCACAGGGTCTTATTTATTTGATATGAACATTGTTGTCAATGTGGTATTGTGCTGATCATCATTGTGATTTTGGTCTATTGCGACGATTGGCATGGTGACTTTGGTGATTCTGTTGATTGTCATTGAACTTGCCATCGTGGTTGCCATTGTCATAGCCGGCGGGCTTGGGCGTCTTGTTTAAGGGTTTTTGTATTACACCCTGGGAATACACCCACTGGGTATTGACCCCATTTAGGCACATTTCCGGAAAAAACCTTGTTCTTTTGAACCATTCTGGGTCATTTCCCAAGGGTGATCCCAGGGTGTAATACAAAAACCCTCAGATCTTGGGGGAAGGGGAGGGTGCGGGGTGGAGAGGATGGGTTTCATTTGTTTCTCGTTCGTTCCCGGGTCTTGTTCGCTGTTTCAAGCACCCTGCTCATAAGTCCGCCTATGGGCAGTTGATATCCCAGGTGGCTAAAAGCTTGGCCAACCATGCTGGAGAAAACTAGGAAGGAGCCGAACACGCCCAGCCGAAACCAAAGAGGAATGCCCCACACAAATACCCTGGTGGCATAGTCAGTTGCTCACACTGTGGATAGACGAAGTTCTGAGTTGTGATGCATAAACCCTCTGAATATTGGAACACACCGCCTACTTACTAGTGCAGGATTTTGGTCCACCCACAAGGTGAGCTACCATGGCTTCCTTTCCAGTCCAGCCTCCCGAATGCAAGGGCTGGGTGTTGTGGGATGATATGTAAAGGGGACATCTAAGACACATGCCTCCCCGCACCCCACCCCCCCCCCCCCCCTCCCCAAACCCCTCCTGTTGCGCTCTTGCCGACGGACTCTCGGCGCAGTCCTTGCATCGATGACCTGCGGAAGACGAAGAGCTGCGCAGAGGAGAAGTGCCCCGGGCGCGGACGCCAAGCGAGCCGAAAAGGGCGTAGGGGACCATCCCATTTTTGGTTCTCCCCTGTTAAATCCATGCCCTCAAAAAGGACACACCCGTATTATAGGCCGTTAAGGCTCATGGTCGTTTTTAAGGCCTTCGCCCAAACTTTGAAAACACGTCTCCCGGGATTTGTGGAGCGGGAGCAACTCTTTGACCCCAACAACCCCCCTGGTGAAGGAGGCAAGTCACGGCGTCCTTTGAGCTTCGCCGATCGGGACCACAGGATTCAACTTCGACTTTCAGACTTGAGTTTAGTTCCGCACTTCTCACACGACGCTTGTTTACTTTCAGCAAGGGATCAACGAACCGCTGAGTTTTGAGGCGTCAACGCATGAGCCCAGGTGCGGTTTGGTCAAAGTATCCAGTCGAGCGACAGTTGGTGAGTTGGGCATGGGGTGAGGTCCACTGACAATGGTTTATTGCGGAACGGTAACCCAAAACCCAATGCAGGGCTGGCCTTTGTCATTTCTTGTGCTTTTGGGTATGTTTTCGGCGGCGGGCGGGGGTTGAGATCTCAAGTGAAGGTAGGTTGGGCTTTTCCAAAGATGGGAAGCTGTAAGCCAACTAACCAAAGGCACCCGAACCCCTTTTGGCCATTTTAGGAGGCGCCGTTGAACTCTTTTTGGCTGCAACCAGTTCCAACCTGCCTCAAGGGAACTGTTAGGTGCATCTTTTTTTAAGGATCACGTTGTGTGGTTGGCCAGGCAAACCACAAGGGCTTTGGGGTGTGCCCCCCAGCTTGACGCTCTTATTGGCCCTTTGTGTCGGGCCGGAACAGGGGATTTGGACGTCAGGGTGCCAGATGTGTTGTACCAACCATACCCTGCCGGAATTCGAAGGAGGCGCCCTCAAACAATACGTGTTTAAACATGATTGAACAAGGTGTGTGCCCAAGCCTGCCGTGCTTCAATTACTGGGGGTAGGGCGCCGACCAAAGAGGTTGATGGTCCCAAAAAGTGGAACCCATGATTCTATTTCCAACAAATATGCACCAGCCTTCACCCTCCGGTTGCCCGCGTAGCAACCGCGCCTCTCGCTTTTGGCATTTTTTTCGGCTCAGCTTTAGCTGTCGCAAAATCCGCGCCATGGCGGAGAATCTGGAGGGCTCGTTCCTGGCAAACAAGGAATGGCAGTATTCCATGGAGGAGCGGTCTGGCTGGCTGCCTGCCAACGCCCAGGACGCCAGCGACGCCAGCGACGCGTGTCGCGACCCTCCGGTTTCGGTGGGGGTGGGGGGGGGGTCGATTGGCGGATTGGCGGATGTCTATGGCCCTCTTTTTTTGGGGTAATGTGGACCCCAAAATAATCAACCCTGTGAATATGGAGGTGTCACTGGTTTTTGTGGGGATTCATCGCTGTTGGAGGGGAACACCCTTGTATTAGTATACAGGGGTTGATGAATATGGGTTCAACACTATTTGCCCGAAAGGCATTGATTTGCTAGCTGGTCAGTGCGGAATCACCAGATGTCGGGAATGAACCGGAAGGAGATGTCCTTGGAAAATTACATGGTTCAGTTTGGGTCAACTCATTCCCGATTAAGAGCTAGCAAGACAAGCCCCATGAAGCAAGTCTTCGCTGGTGGACAGCTGAGCCAGAGCCTTTTTCTTTTTTCTCACCTAGGGACGTTTGTTTTAACCACACTCCCTGAGAGGGCCTGCACCAACCCCAACAAAGCAGTTCACCGGCCCGGGCCTTTGTGAGGGCCTCACCATTGGTGTCCTTTTTGGTTGATTTGGTTGAAAAATACAAGGCAATTTCTGGTTTACCTGGTGGTTCAAAAACAACTACCCATCTATTTTCAACCACAAAGGACACCTGTGCTTCAATGGTCCTTGGTGGCCCCAATGGTCACTTGTCACTCATACTCACTAGGTGCTTTCTTGACCCAGGGGTGTTGCTCACTCGCCAGGAGATGGTGGACAGCCATCCCTGGACGCGGCGGGCGGTGGAGAAGAACCCCCGGTTCCCGGGCTACGTGCCCCCTGAGGCGCTCTTCTGCTGGACGGAGCCCGCACCTTGGAGCTGACGACGCCCCGAAAACAAAAAAAAGGGGCCACACAGGTTCCTTCCTTCGTTTTTCGTTCGTTCGTTGGTTGTGGTTTTGTTTGTTTTGTGTGTTTTGCTTTGTTGGGGTCTTTTTTTTTGTGTGCTGATGAGAAGAGTGTTGCTTTGTTGGTTTCTTTGTTGTCTGTGTGCTGATGAGAAGATTCGAAGGAGGTTTCTGGACTTGTAGGGGGCCTCCAAACTATCTTTGTGAAGTTCCCGCCACGAAGGTGGCGCTTATCCTGACATCAATCAAAAGCTCGTATGTGCAGCAATCGAACACGGAAGGCGTGGGGCTCAGATCCGGGATACATAATCCCTTGATTGAAATACTTGTTATCGCTGTTGGTATTGATATTGATTTTGAACATGCTGGCAAACATATGGCTCAAAGTGTTTTTCAAAGATCTTGGCAATAGAGACTTTTATTTGGGGACAAGTTCCGAGTTCTCAGGTCAATGTACACGTCATGTAGTGTTGGTATTGGCAGTCAGCTCCTTGGCCATTCCGTTCGGAAAGTTCTACGGGCAGTGGCCGTGGGCACGGGCCATAGTGGGCCATACGGGTGGGCCAGTGGTATGTATGGGCTAGGGTCTAGGGCGTCAATGGCATTTTCAGGATGGTTGTTTGGTTAAATATCTAATACTCTGATTGAAGTGTGATCTTGTTGCATCCATACCTTCAACCAACCCATGCTGAGAATGCTCTTGAGAGTGGCTACATTCATACTCCGCCCATGATCCTCCACATTTCACATACCTCGCTTCGACCGAGGATTTTGCCAGCTACGTGAACAGCGGGGGCTTTGTGAAGCCCAAGATGAGGTGTCAGTACTACATCTCCCCCGAGCGCCCTGGCAAGTGAGCGAATGAGGTTCGTCAAAGCACGGGCCACGGTCATGGCCTTTTTGGGGTTTTAGGCAACCATCGCAAGGGTTCCTACTAAGGGCAGCCAGACGATGCACATAAGGAGTTGTGACCATCTCATATGGGTATGTCTGTTTTTCAGGGTCGCCTCTCTTGGGACGTATTTGAAGGGACACCAAAAGGACGCCAACCTTCTTGGGGCTTCGGAGAGAAACCCATATCCAGTATGGTCCATTGGGGAGGGACATGAGGAACTCTAGCCGACAAGGAGTGGGGACACCGAATTTCGTACAAAAATAGCCTAATTTGTTCATGTCCTTTTGAGGAGAAAACTCAAATGTCCGTTGCTCAAATGAGCAGGGCGTGAATGTCTGTGCCACGCACGAACAAATTAAGCACATGGACGAGGTGTGCAAGCCTGGGTGCCTTTCTGATATTGTTTGATTGAACATAGATCTGCCTATTTTACCCTATCAACTCCCTTATAGTTGACGGTCATGGGCAGTGCCAACCATTCGTTCGGAGATCCGCCCTTTGACTCTTCACAATCATTTTGGGTAAACTCCTTTGGTACGGGTTTGATCGTGACTTTCAGGGTGTTTGTACATTTTCTTTCTACATACCCCCTGGGTAAAGGACTCTTTCGCAGCGTGCTGTTCTTGCTTTCCAGAAGCAAACCACTTGCAAATCAATTAATTGTGAGGAGACACATTCTGGCCACCCTCCCCCATGAAAGGCTCTACGAAACCTTCTCAGAAAGGTTAAATTTCGAAAGTGGGTTGGTCATCGGGGCCTTGCGGAAGCCTTTGGAATCTTTTGAGAAATGACCCCAGGCTGGCTGTTGTTACCATTCTCCCCCAAGTTGGCAAAGCATAGGTCAACAGCAACCTTCCTCAATGTGCCAAACTTCTACCAACTTGTGCCGATTGATTGGTCGAATGGGCGCACCCCTGAAGATAGGTCTGGATCGTTTCCGAACATGTTGAGGGTGCTCCAAATTTCTTTGGGACTCAGTGGTTTCGCTTTCAACCATACTTTGCTTGGCGTTTCCCAGCCACACCCTTGGACTTTTAAAGTTTAGATGTGTTTGTGACATATGCCACCAAAAGACAAACCTCTAGCAAGGGATCAGCAAACCACCAAGTATTCATTTTCCAGTTTTTTGGGGGATTTTGGCGGGGCTCTTTTCTTTGGGTTTAAGAGGCGGCCAAACAACATCGGGACCTATAAACCACAAACCTTCCGGTTTTGGGTGATTTTGGCAG